GATGAAACTGGTACGTCTGTCGTCTTTAAACTCCCAACCAGAAGAACTTACTGGTTAACTGGACATGATGGTGCACGTTTAAGACTCCTCCCACAGACATATTTACATGATCTTTTTACGTGACCTGCTCCTCTTCTTCTGCAGGTCTGCTGAGGAACGAGACGTTGGAGAGCACGGCGACGCAGCACACACTCCTCGGCCTGACGCCGGGCCGACTGTACAACGTTACGATGGTGACGGAGGCTGGCGGGCTGCAGAACGACCGGACGACGGCGGCTCAGACAGGTACAGAGAAGAAGAAGAATATGGAGAAGAAGAAGAAGACAGGAACAAAAAGAAAAAAAACAATATCTGATCATCTAAATCTTGTTTCTAGTTCCCGCCACCGTCGCCAACCTCACCGCCACCGACCACGTCAACGGCACCGGCTTGTCTTTGTCGTGGCAGCGTCCCGAAGGCGACCTGGACGCCCTCGTCGTCGTCGTCCTCTCGACCAACGGGACGGCTCTCTGGGAGGCGAGGCTTCCGCCGGACGAGACGGAGGCCGTCGTCGTTGATCAGCTGACCCCCGGCTCGGCCTATCGGGTCGAGGTGATGTCCAGGAGCGGTGAGCTGACGAGCCAATCAGAACTCACCGTCAGGACAGGTGAGGGGTTGTTGTAGTCTTTGTTTCTTCATCTCGTCTCCATCTCGTCTTCATCTCGTCTTCATCTCGTCTCCATCTCGTCTTCATCTCGTCTTCATCTCGTCTCCAGCTCCGGCAGCGGCGGCCCTCCTCTCCTTGTCTCCTTCCTCCTCTTCCTCCGGCGGCCTCCACCTCTCTTGGTCGCCCCCCAGTGGCCGATGGGAGAGCTACAGGCTGCTCCTCCTCGACGGCTCCCAGCAGTTAGTCAGCACCGCTCTGGACCGAGAGGCTGCCAACTTCAGCTTCCCCGGGACGGGACTAACGCCTGGAAGGCTGTACAGAGCCGTGCTGAGAGTGGAGAGCGGAGGACTGACGGCCGAGAGCAGCTGTGAGGGAGCAACAGGTCAGAAATATACAACAGAAATATATACATATATATATATATATATGTATATATATATATATTCAGATATAAAAATTTAAATAATTGTAAAAATATTTGACAGTAATTACACATTAGTAGTATATGACAGAAGATACAGGAATGTGTAAACAAAACAGTCACTGCTACTAAAAGAAATATATGACAAGAAACACAAAACGTGCAGAACGTTTAGTGTGTGTTTTGTCTCTGCAGCTCCGGCCGCCGTGTCTGATCTCCACATACAACACTCTGACGAGACCTCGCTCAGCGCCATGTGGAGCCACGCCCCCTCTGGGTCACGTGACGGCTACTTCCTGACCATTCGCCACGGTAGTCGTCAAGTAGATCAAAATAATCAGATTTAATCTTTTTCACTTGAAGCTCAGAGATACTGCCGTTTTAGGTTAAAACATAAAAATGTTTTGAGAAAAAATCTAAATTTACAAGAAATATATTAAATATTCTCTAAGATTTAAGTTACAAAAAATTTTGTAGTTGTTTTTTTTAAAGTGATGAGGTTGATAGCGACACGGTTCTTTCACAAAAAAACAAAAGATAAATACTGAGGTTTTTTTTCAAATTTGATTCATTATTCAATTTTTTTTTCTCGTAAATGTTTTGATTTCTCTGCAAAAATTTTGACTTAAATCTCAAAAAATGATCTGACTTTTATCCTCATGAATTTGCTAATTTATTCTTAGAAAATATTTTGTTTTATTTTTAATTTACCACTTCATTATTATTGTTGTCGTAAATATTTAATCTTAAATCTTCAAGGAATTCCTCATTTATTATGCATAAATGAACCACTTTAAACAAAAAACAATCCTATCCAAGTCGATGAATCGCTCTTCTGATGATTGCTACCTGTGTGTCGTAGGTAACGTCACCGTGGATACCAGGGAGGTGGAGCCTAACATGAGGGAGTGCACTTTCAACGTGCTCACACCTGGGAGGAGCTACACCATCACTGTGACAACCAGGAGCGGGAAACTCAACACCTCCGTGTCCCTGGAGGGGAGGACAGGTGAGTCAGTACCTGTGAGGTGGTGAAGGTTTAAATACTTTATCATCCATTTACTGTGAATGTTCAAATATACTATACATAAAAACATACAAACATCTCCTCACCAGACTTTAATACCTTTTAATTAACTGTAGAAAACAGCTGTTATTTATTAATGTGGTGTGTGTGTGTGTGTGTGTGTGTGTGTGTGTGTGTGTGTGTGTGTGTGTGTGTTTAGTTCCCATGGCGCTTCGTGCCATCAATCTGAGTAGCTCTGGGGTCAACGGCCTCCAGGCATTCTGGGAGAAACCACCAGGAGACGTGGACTCGTTCTCTCTGATCCTGTTGCAGGACAGGTGTGTTTAAACAGGTGTTTAGAAACAAACCTTTAAACATCTCAGTGTCCACCAGGGGGCGACTCCTCTGGTTGTATAGAAGTCTATGA